CTCTATCTTTAGTGAACCATAGTCTAGCGCCTCTGTGGCATTTTAAGCCTTTGGCTGAGAGTGAATACAGCTTTGTGGTTCCCCTGCTTCTGACATGATTTGGTGCTCCCATATATTTGTAGGTTTCTTTTTTTTTTTTTTTCATTAGAGCTTGTTTGGCTATAGGGCTGCTTAACACTGTTCTCAAACGGCTTTTGCAAGGTTAAAGGAATGCAGCTTGGTAACAAGTTTGTGTCATTTTAAATATATACCTCCCAGTAAATAAGGAGGAGTCTTGCAATCAATCCCTTTTAGTGTGTTATATGTTTCACCTGACAACTAAACCCTCTATTGATTAACCATTACTTTGTTAGATAATCTCGTGTCATTGAAGCCACTGTAAAAATTAAACTCTTTAAAATGTTTTACCCTAGCAGCAGTGTGAAAATTGAAAACTTGTTCAGAATTACAGCCAGCTTCCACAAAGAGGGTAGTTTTCAACAAACTGGTTTATGTTTGCATGCTTTATATGCAATATAAAAACATATTAAAGCACTCCAACGCAAAGCTATCTGCCTGTGGTGTTGAACCAGGCTACCATTTCAGACTACTTTTCCTTGATGAAGAAACCTCTTATTTTGATGAAAGGTGAGGAGAAACTTGAACAGTTTGGGTGCGGATTAGATGAGATATGTAAAAGGGTCAAGCTTTAAAGGTGAGCTGCAGAATTTTAGTTTTCTGAGACTTAGTTCTGGCTTTGATTTTCCTGCTTTTCTTCCAGGTTGATCAATGTTCCCATGGGCATTGGAACAAATGAAAGGAGGTACTCTGATGTTGCAGCGTAGCATGAGACACCATCAAATGTTTCACCTAACATGAAGGGCTCTGTATTATTACTTGATGATATGACATTTATTCTGCTATCAGAATTCACTATTCTATTAACTAGGTCTATTCAGTGCTAACTATTATGTGCAAACACAAGTATGACAATATCAGACCAAATCTCCACGTCCAGCTGTAATTTTGTGTCTTGCAGTAGCCAGTAACTGCTGCCTACAGAGAAACATTAGGAGACTATCATACAGTACTGCCTTCACAATATATTCTACCAGCTTCTCATGACTTGGCTTCATGAACCAGATGCAGTTTCTTTGTAACACTGTCAATACATTTCCATTGAGACCTATTAAATAGAGTGACATTACCTCTTTTTCCCCTGGACTTCAAGGGAGAACTAGGTTTTGTTCTGCATTTTGCTTTCAACCCTTTAAAACATATTGTAGAATATGTGCGTGAATCTTCTTTACCCTCTTTATTCATCCCCCAAGGCTAATAATGCATTCTTCTGTGAGAATGTGAAAATAACAACAGAAGAACTTGGTAACTTTGCAGAGATAGTAATTTATGTTGAACTGTAGATCACTTTATGTTTTATTCTCAAATCTGCATCCTTATGTGTTGAATCCATGATAAATACTCCCTTTAATGTTCTCTTTTTCCCCATAACTTCTATTGAGAAGCTAAGAGCTGCTGGAGGACTCAATGATTATTTGGTCCGTGTGTAGATCCTTATGTGATAAAATTACTGTGTAAAAGTTGGTTCTCATAGGAAAAGCACATTCTTCTCTCCTTCTGTGGCTGAAAAGGTTGGTAAGGAGGAACTGAAGTATCATTGGCATCTTGTCAAGGGCAGAGGGATATTGGTAGCATGGGAATGCCCGGGTCAGTCAGACTCATCCACTGCCAACTCCAGCACTGTCAGTGGAAGATGCTGTTGAAGGAGAGCAAACAAGTCTGGTCTCTTTTGGTATTCTACTGCCCTCCTGCTCCTGCAGCATCTAGCACTCTTGCTCTTGGGATGACTGATATCTGTGCTGAGTACTCTGTGGTCCTGCTGTCCATGAGTTTGTTTAGTCCCTTTTTCCACTTGCTGATGATGTTTCTCTACACGATGTCCTGGAGCAGCAAGCCTCCTGTGTGAAGAAATGTTTCATTTTATCTGCTTTAAATTTGTACTATACTAATTTCATCAAATATCACTAGTCCTGGTGGTGTGGGATTTAATGAAGAAGTTACACTGGAAGTTCAGTTATTTCTCACTGAGATGTAATGTGTGGATGAAAGTAATAAAAATTAAGCAATACACTGGAATAATTATTTGTGTCTGCATTCTGACATGCACATAACTTTTGAATAGTGCATAGTGAGCTTCCTTCATTCTCAGAAAGTGCTAGTGTCTTTAAATTTAGCATTTTAGTATTTCACGATGTGCATTTGGATTGTCTACTCTTTCCCATTTGTAAGTGTGAGAGAAAGCCTGTCGTAAGCCCAGCTTTTAAAAAGCTGGCCTGCTACCAAGGTTTGTGCATACCTGTCTTGAGAGGAAAAAGACTGACAAGATCTGAGTTCATGGTTCAGTTCACGGAGCTACAGGCTTCCTTGTTGCTTTCAGTAAATGCTTTTGTGGCTGAGCTTTTGATCTGCAAAGTGGAGTTAGTAGTAACTTTATTCAAGTCAGGGCTCCTCATAAAATTTACAGTATGTAGCAGATGTGTTGTGCATAAATACTGTGACTGGAATTTTAGGGGTTAAACTGCAAATGAAAAAAATCACAGACTGATGATAAATGGGTTAAATTACACAAATACAAATACTGAGAAAAGAATCTTATCAACTCTTCGTGGTTTTTCCTCTTCACAATCTCGTTGAATTTAACTAGTACCATGCCTGTAAAATAAAGTTTGCATGGTATTGTCTGAATGTCAATGCAAAGCAGATGGTGTCAACTTTTTATTTATCAGCTGCTACATCTAAGCCCCAATTTATAATAGTTTATGCCTTTCTGGTCTTTCTTCTGAGGAGAAAGTTCTGTGCATTCCAGAGCAATGGTTTTATGATCTTGGCAAATATTTGTAAGAGGCTAAGTTGAGTCTGTCAGACTTCTGTTTGCTTGTAGCCTAATCCAGTTTGAATCTGAACCTCCCCTGCTGAAAGATGCACTCTGTTCATCTGCACGGCGCCTTGAAAGAATTCATGTGTTTGAATTTTTCAGTTTCTCTTTCTGGATCCAGAGACAGAAATTGCTCACTTGCTGCTAGTCACAGCAGATATCAATGTTGTGACATGTAAAGAGATCTCATGAGCCAGGATATTCTGCATTCCTCTCTGTCACCAGTTAGAGAGCTCACCAAGAAGTAAAATATGAACTTCTAAAGGAATGGAGAAGATAGGGCTTCTGGGTTCCTTTTTGTTTCTATTTCATGGTGAACTTTAAAGGGGCTCTGTAAATAGGTAAGGTGGAAAGGACTGTGATTTCCTGATTTTCCCGAAGTGTCTCTACTGTGCTGGACCAGTACAGATCCACCACAGCCAGTACACAGAGTTCCCATGGTGGGCAGTAAGGAGTGTTTCATGAGGATCATAAGAACTTAGGTGAATGTTATAAACTTGATTGTGAACACTCAGTTCCCATCAGTTGGTGCTTACCATCCCCCTAGGCTGGGCACTACTGGGAACACTGGCTTTGTGGACGTATCTCCTATCACTCAGCATAACCCCCTTTTAATCTCTTTGCATTCTTGCATTTGAGATCTTTTGCCATGTGTTCTTCTGCCATTTTTTCTGTTGCTGCTGTCTGCATCTTCCACAGAGTCAGGCCTCTGGCAGAGGGGCAAAAGGATGAGGTCGTTTACTCATGCTTGGTGCTGAGGGAATCTGGCTCTGGTGATGTAGCTTTGGAGAAGAGAGATAGGTTTAGGAGTCCTTAACATGGCAGTGTTGTCCGCAGGTTTTGTAACCTGTAGCAGATTTGGTGTTGAATTAGTTTTAAATCAAACAAATAGAAATCTGTAGTGAGCCCTGAAAGAAAGATCTTGAGAAATTGCTAGTGACTATTACAGGGAGAGAACTGACAGGCAGTTCACTACAAGTCTTTGTGCGTCTTCCCCTTAAGGCAATCTTAAAAATATAATGAGTGTTGGTACGTTTTACTTAGTGCTCTTGGAAATGTCGTTGTAACAAGTTTAATTTCATTTTTTCAGCATGTTTCTTGGGTTTTCCCCACAGAACTCTTTGAGGTAGCAATATCATCTCTGTGGTCCACTTACTACTCTTGCAACAAAGCAAGTTTGTGCTTGCTTTTGAGCTGCCACTTTTGCATGGGAGCATTTTTCTTTAAGTGATGGCACATGCTGGAGGGTTAATCCCATACTGAAGCTCTTAGGTGTTACTGTATTCCTCCTCCTACTAAAAAATGTGAACTTAATCAAGTAGTAATTAAAAAGGTGTTGAAGGGACGGGGAAGAGAGAACCTCCATTAGAAATTCCTGAGTTCTTCAGGCATATTGGTTTAAATGGCCAAATCAACCAAAATATAATTTTAAACCCACTTCATAAGTATTGTTCATACACTTCCCTTTGAAATGGGAGAGGCTATGAATAAAGTGTTGTGCAAAGACTCTGAAGTCTGCAGCTAGAACTGAGGGCCCCCTGGGCAGGACAGTGTTAAAGAAAAAAGACACTGTACTTTAAAAATGAAAAAAGCTTTCCAAAATTGGGAAGATTAAATACAAGTGAGATGTGGTCTGTGTTTGCTCCCTTCTGATTATAACCTTCATACTGTCCCCATGTATTTTACCTGATAAAGTCAGGAGATGTTTATTAACATTTGACATACGCTGTGCTAACTAATGTGTAGGAATCAGCTTGCTTTAGTTTTTCAGTTGTGCAGCATTTTGTGAAAGAATGAACAAATGAGATCAGATACTTTTTCCTTTTTCAAAGGAACAGAGGAGAAAAATCTTTTTCTTTGTATATCAGAACTATAAAATTGTACATAGCTCAGAGGACATGCATGCCCTGAACATAGGCTTTTGCTGTAAACTAGTTTATTTTAATTTGAAACATTTACACCTTAGGAAAAAGGAAATGTAGTAGAGTTGTGGGTTCCTGTGCCAAAAATGTGGTGCCTGAAAGAAAATCGTGTTCTTCTATTCATAACCATTTTAATCTTTCTGCAGACCTACAACAGCTGTGCCAGACTGTGCTTAAACCAGGAAACAGTGTGTCTAGGAAGCACTGCTATGAAGACTGAAAATTGTGTGGCCAAAGTAAGTAAGAGAATGGCTTTGGTTTTGAGAGGTTTTCAGCAAATTGTTCATTGGTAGTCAGAGAAGAGTTCTTGTTAAAAATTACAGTTAGGAAAAAATATTTAAACAGAAAGTAAGTATTTTGGGTAGGTTTTTCTGTTCTTTAGTGTAGAGATTTCAGACTTGCTGGTTTTCTCTGCTGGAAAGGATTACTTGAGTCCTCAGCTATCTAGGATTGAAGGGCTCATTCTGCTATACAAGTAATAGGCTTTTCCAGTGGGATGACCTATGCCTGCCATGTAATTAGCTGTGGCAACTTCAAATGATAAATGTCCAGATACTAAAAATATTCCATGTGAGCTCTTTGTATCATGGTTCCTTTCTTAGCTGCCAGAAGGAAGGTGCAAAAAGAAAGACCTTTTGATTAAAATACAGTGAATGCTGTATTTAAAGAAAAGGGAGGAGGGAGATAACCACAGTCATAATGGTAAGAAAATGGATTTATTAGCCTATCACAGAAAAGTAATTTCTTGAGAATTGGGGTAGATGTGGTTGAAAAAGGTGAGGTGCCATTAGCCACCCTCTTTTCTTAAAATTCAGCATAACTAGAGTAAAACAATGTACATCTAGGGCTGTTTGTGAATGGAGAACATTTGAACCATGATGCAATATGTCTAGAAAGACTGTGCAAAGGATGCATTTAGCCTTGTGCAAGCTTTGTATTTCCACTGAAAGGAAGTTTAGAATGGGCATGCAGGACAGATCAGTGCATGCAGCCATCTGTTACTAAAACCAGCTGGCATTTTGTTGCTCCTCTGTCACCACAAACCTGACCACTTAAAAACCTGTTTTCTCTTTTGGTTATTTTATTCCTTGATCTTCTTGAAGTCCATTTTTTTCATACTTGGAATGGTTGTTAAAGGTGCCTTGTCCCTTCAGGGGCCACTTTTGTATTGACCTTTAAGATAATTTTCCAGCTAAATCTTCTCTGGGATTTTGCTGGTGAAATTTGGATGTCCCATTACTTTTGATTCTTGTCAGGGAATTGGCTATCATAAAAGTTTGTCATGGTGCTTGCAGGTGGCTTAGCACTCATAAACTGTGCTTGCCTGCCAGTTGCCTCCCACTGCAGAAGCACTTCTGAGGGCAGCTACCAGTCTTGGTACAAAGAGCTGATATTTAATACCAGCACTTCCATTCTTGAGATGACTGGTATTGCACACTTCTTCCTAAGGTGCTTTATGATACAGAGTAGGTGAAACTCTCTCAGCAGAGCAGCTCTGGCTGAGTTGTCTCATCATGCAGCATCATTCTGGTGCCATACAGCAGCTCACAGCAGGCTAACTGGAGTAAGTCCATTCAACCCCATCTGCTCTATAGTGTCTTGTTTGACCTAATCGCTTCACTAAAGAGCAAGGAGGTACAAGAAGTACAACCAGTTTAAGTGGTGCCTCTTTTAAATGAAATTACACACTTTAACATCTTAATGCCCTAAATTGTAAACTCTCCTAAAGTTATGTTTTTGGTGGGTGAGAGGTGTGGGTAGGGCTGAAGGCAAGAGCAGCAAGACTTGTTTCATGCTATTGAGAATGAATGTGAAGCGTCACCCTGGAGATGAAAAAGTGTATGTTTTTAAGTATTTTGTCTCTATATGCTGTTGGACAGTATATGTGTATGTATGCTCTAGGGCAATCTACCATCACACATATATCAAAAAACATATATATATATACATATACATGCGTATATATACACATTTGTATACACACACACACACATATATATATATGAAAAAACATAAAGACTTTTCTGGGGATACAATTCCTCTAGTACTAGCTTGCCTGGCTGTTGTACTCCTTTCCTTTGCCTTCTTAGTTACAAACCAAATGAAATAGGTTCTAAGAAAGCTTGCCTTTCAAATTCCAGAAGTATTGAAGCATTTATAAATCCAGCTATCTAAATGCAGATGGCTCAGTGATGGCATAGGCAAATGGCACAACTGTTAAATGTTCCCTAGGTGAAGGGCTTAAGTGGGATTTAAAGAGTTCAGAGGCCTTCTCCTAGGCTGCATGCACGTGACGAGTTTTATCCTCTATGATTGATGTGTTTTACAGCCTTGGACTTTAAAATGTTTTGTCAGGAAGGTGAATACTGGAAAGTATAACCACAGGTTTCATTATCTGCAGCACTTCTCCAAATGTATTTCGAGGGCTTCAATTTTCTTTTTAAACTTGCAGTGAAACACAAAAAGGATTACTTTGGAAGTTGTGATTTACCTTTTCTGATTCTGCAGTGCAGTATCAGCCCTGACTGGGAGCCATAGTGTGCATTATCACATGCTTGTCAGATGTGTCAGTCAGTCTGATGATGATGGTTTTTCTAAAAACAAAATTTCTGATTCCGCATCTACTTTCAGAAAAGAAAACTGTGCTCTGTTAACACTGTATAAATGGCACCTATTCACTGTGTATTTGATGTTTGTAAAAGTTTGTTCAAAGAATGAAATGTGGTTTCCCTTGAGGCCACACACATCAACATTGAGGTACCTTTTCTCAGACTGAAGCACTGTCTGTCCATTAAACTCTCTTGTGAATGAGAGTTTCTGTACAGGATATCCAGATATAAATTACCAACCTAACAGGTGGCATTCTTCCTAAAATGGAGGGGGGGGGAAGTTTGCAATAAATAGATATGCATATTCAGATATGGAAAGTAGCATAGGGCCACAGTCTTTTTGACAGCTCAAGGAAGTTCGTGTTTGTTAGGAAACTTTGGTTTTGTATGCGATGTCATGCTGCCTTTGCAGCCATGTGCTCAGTCACTTTTGCAAACCTATGAATTATTTAGTTTTATTCAGACATTTAAAAATAAAACTAGAATATCATGTTCTGATGAATCTTTGTATCTCGTTCGTAGCCTTGCTTTTCTGGTATTTGTCCTCTGAAACTCCACTGTTAGGACTTGGGGATGCTTGGGTAGAAGCCAGAAAGGAGCAGTGGAAATTGTTTAAAGTGTGCGCATGTTTTAATTGAAGAGGTAGGATCTTAAATTAAAAATCATGTATTGTGATGCACAGATGCCACATGTGTCATCAGCTAACATCGTTTCTCTCCCATCTGTAGGAGTTTCTCTGTTACTCTTTTAGCATCTTTTTGCCCATTGCTTGTGAGTGGTCAACAAGTCTGATGTATATCCAATATAATGTCATTGAAAAGGAAATGCAGTCTCTATTTTTGTTTTTATATGTGTGTGTACACACACAAAGATATATATTGAAAGTCCTCCTGTTTGTCTCTTTAGAAACCAAAAAATGTCTGTGAGAGGATTTCTTTTTATGATACTACTTGTGTGCAACCACAAGTGGACAGCTTTCTCAGGAATTGGTGCTAGGTGCTTAAATAAGGTAGAAATGTAGCATGAACCTGAGCTCCAAGGACAGGGTGTTTGATTTTAATGAGGCTTATTGAAATCCAGCCAAATGAGCATCTGTTCCTATTGTTTGTTCCATATTTTGCAAGCCAGTATCTTCAGGCCAGATAATGGTGTTGGTGTGTGCTTCATCCTCAATTAGAGAGGGACACAGTTAAAAGTCCCTTGGCATCTGGTATGTCACTAGGATTCTTGTGATGCTCCTGGGTGTGCAAACAAGTTTCAATTCTGTTCTGTACCCAGGGCCACTTACTTTCTCTGGTGACCTTCACACTTTATATTTGATATGTGGCAAGGGATGCTCTGCTGTGTTTCCAGTCTCCTTGGCTGAGTCTTTGCAGGGATGGGTTATATGTAGTCCTGTTTTCAAACAGAGGTCTTTCATAAAGCCCACTCTTTCATGATGTGGGCTGTGTTAGGTTTGAGTTTTGCTCTTTGCTTGGAGTCTGTTAGATTTTGCATTTCCCTGGATCGTGGAAATATCTTATTGATTCAAAGGGCTCTTTTATTTCTCAGCAAGAGACTGGTGTACAACTCATATCAGAGCTCTACAGTCAATACCCATTTCCTGCGTTTGTTAGATAGGTCTTTTCTGTTTATTAGCTCCTACAGTCAGTTCCAGTTCATCTGTATCTGCTATACAAAGGAGTGTTCTCAGTTTTTATTTTGGACATTGAATTCTTTCCTGCTTGTGCCAGAGATAGGCACCCTGTGGAATACCTGCCACAGACAGCACTGAGACACCTTTGAAATGGCATACAGCATCCCCAGGTTTCTACTTAGTTCTGAACTCAGCAGCAGCTGGGAGAGGTTTTCTGCCTCTATTTTTATCTAAGGGAAATTGGAGGAAGAAAAATGTAATCATGCACACCACCCTTGAAAAATTAGACTTCTGTTTCAGGCCACTCCTTGCTACTCACGTGTGATAACTAGTCCTGCTTTTTAAGGTCCCAGCAAACCAAGGGACTTCTCAGGCTCTTTTAAGCATCTTGAGTCTTCTGGGGAATCTTTGATTACTGCTCATTGTAATGATAAATGTGCAGTGGTTAATGATTTGAACTGGTAGTCTAGAAAGGGTTTATGTATACCCTTTATCTTCAGCACTGTGATTTTATTCTCTGTGGCCATGATGGCTTTTCTTGCTTCTCTTCAAAAAGGGAACTAATAATACTCTTCTTGGAGAAATGTTGTGAAATGTATGATACTTTTTTGACACTTGGATGAAAAGTCCTGCTTAGGTACGTAGAGATGTTCTGCCTGCTCGGCAAGCTGCGTGTAGTGTACAGGGGGAGAGAGCTCTGTTCTGCTCAATTCTGGAAACACAGAACAGGCCTTGGCACTTACAGTATGCCATGTGAAATTTCCTTTCAAAGATGCATCTTATTATGTAGCTATTGCTACACGTTTTACACTCAAGGATGATTCAGCTAAAGCAAGGAGTGGTGAAAGTAGCTGGTAATTGAAATCTTCCTTCCTTTGTCAGTTTTTTCTGCATTGCTACTTCCAAATTTTTAGAACAAACGTAGTCAGCACAATAATAACACTGAGCCAAGAATTTTTATATAAATTCAAAGGAGAAACCACAAGTACTC